ACACACACACACACAGAGACACACACACACACAGAGACACACACACAGACACACACGCGCACACACACACGCACACGTCCAGGTTTCAGTCTGTCGTGGTCAGTTCAGCTCTTATCAACAGTTGCTGTGATTTGGTGTCAGCGTTGCTGTTATGATATGAGCTCACCATATTGAGCGTGTTGGAGCCCACCGCCCCTGCAGGTCGAATCCCTCTGGGTCCATGTTCAAACACTGCTCCATCTGATCTCCGAGTGGACCACAGCCAACCTCCAAAACGACTGCTTGCCTCTAGAAGGATGACCTGTTTGGATATTTAGGTTTAAATCCTCTCAAGATGTGCGCAGCAATGACCAAGAAATGAAAGACAAGTGAAACGGAGGTAAGAGGCACAACATTTCATTTAAACATCTTAGTGACCTTCCTGAATCTTCATTTGCATATCTCATGTTTTAGATGTTCCTGGAGGACATAAAGCCCTGCACCTGCACAGGAAGTCCTTTAATCACTACATCCTTTCACACTGGACGCAGCCCTGAAACCCACTCGTGTCTACAGGTTTTGCCGCACATTAAGTTTCCTGCTGCGCCGAGGAAAGAGCATCACAAGCACAGATGTGGAGCGTGATATACTCGTGCATCGACCGCGGTGCGTGGCGATGCACTTTCCCGCGACCAATAAAAGCAAAGCCTGCAGAACATGAACGTTCTTCACACGTCCAAGTTTGGTCAACTTTTCCACATACAGGGACCTCCAGAGTCCTTTCAACGGCTCCGTGGACCTCGGGGGGGACTATTGTGGAAACGACACTCTTCACTAGTCGGCACAGTTTCAGAGCTTTAGTGCTGATGAATGAGCGATACATGTTTTATTAAACATTTGGATATAAAACGACACAGACCCTCGTAGTGGATACAACGAGGGACACAATTTTTTGAAATGAAGGAGCATCTCGTACACGCAGAGCAGCCGCAGAGCAGCCGCAGAGCAGCCGCAGAGCAGCCGCAGAGCAGCGTGCTCAGTGCAACACAAAGTTGGGTCATTCGCTCTCGCTAGCAGTGAGGTCAGCGCACTGATGTGAAACAGCCTTCTTATATAAAGTGTCCTGAGATAAGTGTTAAATAAAAGTGAACAGAACTGAGCGCACAGGACTTCCTGCCCGTCTTAGCGGAGGACATTTTACCAATGGAATTCCTAACCACATCTCGAGGTTTCACTTCCTGGTTTGATGAGGGTTAGAAAAATGAGGGGTAGGGTTTTAAATCCAACTCTGGACTAAACAGGGAGCCAGTAAAAGAAGCTAGTGTGGGGGAAACACCACCTGCCTTTGTTCCTGTACTTACACTGCAGCACGTGGGATCCGCTGACTGCCTTTCAAGCGCGCTTTTCAAACAGCGCGACAATAATGAACTTCAACCAGTAACAAGCAGGTTTTCAGCTCACTGTCACAGGGTGTTTCTAACCAGAGGTGGGACCAAGTCATTGTTTTGCAAGTC